ACGTCCCCGGCTGGGAGAGCACCATGGGAAACGGCCGGAGCGAGAGGATGAGGCGATGTCGGTGTTCGCCTGCCCTCGGTCTCTGGGTTGTCACCACTTGGGACCGTTGATCTGCAGCCACCGAGATGTCATGATGGCTCCAGGTCCTCACGATGGGTCGCGGGGTCAGGAGGTGTCGGGTCTTTGCACGGGCTCCAACGCTCAGCCTCTTTCCACTCCTCTGCCAACATCCTCCCGTGGGATCGCAGCCCTCCGGGGAAGCGCTGACGCACGCGTCCCCCCCGGGTGGGAGGGAGCCCACCGCCCGTGGTCCCGCTGCCTCACTTGGGGAGGGGAGAAAGCGCCGGCTCAGCCCCACGGCCGGGTTCAAAGGATGCAGAATTCTTCCTGCGGGACATTCGGGGTGTCCTTGGGGAGACAGAACGTCCTGAACAGCAGGTTCCCACCGGCCCAGAGGAGCGATCGCCGGGACATCCATACGTGATCCTGAGCTCACACTTCCGAAAGCGCCGTGGGGATCAGATCTCTGCAGGGGCCACGAGGCTCCAGACAAATGCAGGAAAGAAACAGGGGGAAGCAAGCGTTCCCCTCGCCTTTCCCCTTTGTTCAGCTGGTTTTCCTGCCAGGATCCCAGCGAAATCCCTGACTCTTCTCCCCTTAACGTTCTTTTCCCTTTCAGCACTTCAGCATCCCGGGATGTGCAGGGCTCGGGCAGGCAGCTCCGACAGCCTCCGGGGAAAAGAGGATCCTGGTCTCACACCTCCCGGTCTCTGGTCTGGTCGGATCTCAGCAGGAGCGGAGGGAGCAGGAGAGACACGACACTGAAGCCCAGCTTTGCTTCGGGGTCACAGGGGCCCGACAGCGTATGTACAAGCTGCGTGAGGAACCCGGGGCTTTGCTCAGCCGATGGAGTGGAGCCGGCTAGAGGGCCAGACAGGGTGGGTTGGTTTAGGTTGGTTTTTCTTTTAACCCCCTTTTTCCTCTTCTTTTAATATTTTTTTTTCTTAAACACTTGCATCTTGCCAGCAAGGAGAAGACACCGCCCGGCTGCGCTCACTCCTGGCTGGAGCCAAAGAACTGGAGGAAGAAGGAGAAGATGTAGATGATGTCCAGGTAGATGTTGAGGGCGCCGAAGATGTATTCCTCCGGGCTCAGCGAGTACCGACGGTTCCCCATCAGCATCTGGGTGTCAAACGCCAGGAACTGCGGGGAAAGAGGAGAAACCCAACAGCAGTCACGGGGAGTTCGGCACCGGGGGCCAGAGCTGCTCCGAGGACAGGAGCTCTCCCAGTCGCCTCACTGTGCCCAGAACACACATGCTGCTGCTTTTTATGGGCAATTTAAAAGCTCAGAGCAATGCACTGACCAGGCTGCAACATTCCCCTTCCTCCGTTTCACTCTTGATATCAAACCCTGAGCCCAGCTATTGCTCCAGGCTGCTTCCCTCCTGCTCTGTCCATCCCAAACCCGTCCCAGGAGCAGCTCCAGAACAGTTCTCCCACTTCATCCTCATCCAGTCCCTACAGCTTGTTATTCCCAGACCCCCCCCAGCTCAGGAACCCCGGCCAGGTGACACGGTGGCGTTGCAGCAGCAGCACCAGTGGAACAACAAAGAGCAGGAAAACCCATCTCCCAGGCAGCACCGCGGGCTGCAGAGGGGATCCGGCGCCTTCCGATGTCCCAACCCACCCGAGCGCGGGGCAGATCCCACCATCGCGGTGGGGACCCACAGCCCAGCCGCCTGCAGGGACATGGCCCCCGTGGGGACAAACACGGGCTCCAACCGCAGGAAAACCTGCGCTGGGGTGTGCGGCTTTGAGCCCAACGAGCTCCCATCACACTTCGCTCCCTTGGTTACCCCAGCCCACGATGGACACCCCGGCAGGGAGCTTCGGGGGGCTGGAGGCATCTCCGCCATCGCCTCCACCAGCCGGGGCTCTGCCTGGAGTTTGTGGGTAATTAAAAGCTGTTCAGCCGACTTGTATTTTACAGAGCAGCCTTTAATGGTGAATCACGGAAAAAATATCCGAGCTCACTTGAAAGGACTTTATTACAGCTAATAAATGGGATTGCTCAACCGCTCCTATTCACACCGTGCCCAATGGCACCTCCCTGAGCCCCCGGGCAGCCTCCTCCTGACCCCCACCTCGAGGGAACGCCAAGCGTCTTCCCAGACACCTCCCACGCCCGCACGGCGAGCGCAGCACTGCCGGGACTTGCTCCGGGAAGAGGCAGGAGCCACGGGCGACGAGCAGCCAAGGGGACGGATGGAGACTTTCCGCCTTTCCTTGGGGGAGCTGCCCGGCTCCGGGGCTCCTTCCCCCACTGACCCTTCCCCACAGCCCTCCATCCCAAACTCAAGCCCGGTCCCTGGGCTTCTCCCCCTCATCCAGCCCTGAACCGGCATTTCTCTGCTCCACAGCCCCATCCCATTCCATCCTATCCCATCCCATCCCCAGGTTCCCCCGGACCCTGTGGTCCTGGTCCCGTGGCCGTCTCGAAGCTCAGCCTCAGCTTCTCCCCCGTCCCTACAACGCTTCCCGCTGCTCCCGCCCGGATTGCGCACGCGGCGCGGGTTTGCCAATCGCACCGAGCTCTGCGCCGACGCCGGCACGTACGCCGGCACCGCTCAGGACAAGGCTGAGGTCACGGCGCTAATTGCTGCTCACGAGGAGCTGGAGGATGAGGAGCTCTCTGCAACCCCGCAACTTGCTCCTCTCCCTTCCCCGAGCACCTTTCACGGCTAACAACATTTATTTTTTTCTTAATTTTCCCCCAGCACACTCCCGGACCCCACGACCGGCACCACTCACCATGGTGAAGATGACGGCACCGAGCAGGGCGTAGATCGCATGGAGCCAAGGGACCTGAAGGAAACAAACCCGTCAGTGAGTGCCTGGAGAAAGCTGGTTCGTTAGGATGTGACATGGGAGAGGACTCGGCATCCCGAGGACAGGAGCGAGGGGAAGGGCTCTGACAGCCCGGGATGGACTCACTTCCAGCTCTGGTGCTCTTTCTGCTTTTTATAGCCAAGAACGGGTCACTGTGCCTCAGTTTCCCCTCTCACTGGGGCCTTTGTGTTTACTTGGCTCATAAGCTCCCGGGCCGGGCACTCGTGTTTCTGAACAGCCAACGTGGCCGCTGCCTCTGCTGACACAGCTTGGCACCGTCCCGAGGGACACGCTGCCGCCGTCCTGGGGGTTCGTTCAACCAGACAGGGCTGATCCCGTGGGAAGAAACCCCAAATGCTCCTCGGGGTCAGGCCCAGCTTTAATTAACAAGCATAACTTAAACGCATTCATCTGCTGGAGTCACAGCGGGAAATTCATGGGAATTAAAACCAAACCTCAGCCCCAGCTTGCTGCAGCACCGCAGCACAGGGAATCATGGAGTCCCAGAGTGGTTTGGGTGGGAAGGGACCTCAAAGCCCACCCAGTGCCACCCGCTGCCATGGGTGGGGACCCCTCCCACTAGCCCAGGTTGCTCAAAGCCTCATCCAGCCTGGCCTTGAACACCTCCAGGGATGGGGCATCCACAGCTTCCCTGGGCAACCT